ACATATTACACTGCGCCTCACAAAATGAATGCAAGGCTTATTGAAAATAACGGCAAAGTTGTGACCAGCGCACATCTTATAAAGAAATGTACGAATAGATGACATCAATCCCTCGTCTTGATTCTTGAAGGAAAATTGGCCCCTCCTCAATTCTTTTTATGCATCAACAGTTATCAAAGCAGTAATGTTATTTGTCATCGTGGAAAAAATTGTTGACATAGATGGGCAACAGTACTGTTAAGATTATTGCCTCCGAATGTATGGCGCCAATTTTAGTGGTTCCCATATGAGTTTATGTAAGGCAAAACATTCGCATCCATTTGTGCTTTTCTCACTTTTTTATTAGTTTTAAGGAAGGGTATTAACTTTAATTTTCTGGTCTATCTTTTCTTAATTGATTTTTGCTTATTGTCAATGCTCTTAACTTTGATTATACAACGAACACTTCAATATTTTCGTTTACGAAGAGTTAAAGAATTTACTATACCTGTTATCGTGTCATTAACGATTGCATAGACATTGAAATTAGTCAGATGAATTGCGTAAATTTTAGAGGTTTTTCATTATGTTTTGGATTGTAGAATTATAAGAACCAGTGCCTGCTGTATCAATACAAAAGTTTTGACTCTTACTTTTATGGAAAAAACACTTTTAAATGAAATCCAATAGTTAAAGTTCCTCTTTTTATGCATGGAGCGAAAAGGTAAAAAATTTAATATATTGTAGTCATAAGTTTTATGTATTTGTAGATAATAATTTGCAGATTTGAGTTAATTAGTCTTATTTAATGAAACATTCTGCCAGTCAGAAGAATGACGTTATTTCAGCATTAAAAATTCACACTTTCTATCCTAGGAAACATTGGCCCTATCAAATTAAAGCCTAATCAAATTAAATCATGAATTTGTTAAGGCTACTGTTGTAAAACTACTCATGTAATTGCTGTTACTGTTATTTTCTTCGGTATTTCTCATTCATTTATTTCTATTTTTCATTTTTATTATTATCATATTTTGTATTTTAAGCTACTGCATTAATGGATCATTTTAAATTTTGATTTTAAATTTATTAGAAGTCTTTTTTGACGATTTAAAGGAAATATCAGCAATCAGCATTTGATGATGCCAAAAAAAAATGAAAACCACATAAAATATATATATGTTTATTTTCACAATATAGACATCCAGTGATTTCAGCACAATTGACAGTTACATCAGAATGTCTTTTTATAGACTAACCCAGTCGAAACCTACGGAAAGAATCATCGCGTGGACCACCCTTCATTACTGCTTTTATAAACAAAAACGCCCTTTAGCCCGGATAATTAATGGTTTAGAAAAACTGACTTCGTTCATTTAATACTGAGTATCTCTCCTTAGTATTTTCAGAACCTTTCGCTGCCACCTTTAACAAACCTAATGATGGCAGTTATGACTGTATCTAGGGCCAGGTATATATTTAAGTTCTGTTTGTTGTGATATTTTTATAACGGAGTAGATAACAGATAAGATACAACCCAGACCATTGCAAAGTCTTATCTTCCTTTTTTGTTTATGTGCTGTCTATAAGGGACTGATTATTAACCGATCATTTAGACTGGGTGTGTTTTTTTCACAAATTAGAGAGTAGTAATACATGATTGTGTCCTATTTTGAAGAATCATTTATTTACACTCTTATAACTCAAAGGTAGACCCTTCTGCTCTTGACATAAGAATTAAACTAATAACTTTTTTATTTTGTTGTCAGACACTTGACATCAAGTCGGAAAAAATGAGGAATACAAGCCATGATGCAAAAATAAGCATATGATGGCAAGCAATGGTCATTTAGTGTGTATTTCTAAACAAATATCCCCGATGTGGTTTATGTTTAGTGAAAGGGATTGCAATGCCCTTACACAAGTGTCTACATTGGTAAGTGGGTGTTCTACGTTATGTTGACTATATGACGTAGGCGTAATTTATGACGAAACAGCTTTTCATAGGACAAGCATCTCAGTTGCCTATCACCAAAATAATGCATTTAAAAAAATATCATAATCAGAGTCATAGTTTTTTATCATATTTTCATCCATACTATGTTATATTTTTCTAAAGAATTAAATTTTGATCCGGAAAGACCAGTAATTCTGAAGTGTAATTTTATACATATTTGTGCAGTTATTTGTAAAAGTAAATCCCGCGGCCAATGTGATAAATGACAAACTCAAATCAAGTCATTTTCTTTTCAGCAGAAGGATCGTGGAGTCACAGTTCCTGCGGTTTGTTTAGCGATTTGAGTCCCTGACGTGGTAATACATGTTGTATCAAGACGGTAAATTTGATTTATAGTGCGAACCTCTCCTTTACATAAATGTAACAGTGCCAGATCAGTTAGGTTCTTCGCGTCAGACGATACCTGCCATTTGTTAAAGACCTCTGTTTATTTTTATACAATCTAGAGACGTTATGTGACCGTGGCGATATACGCTCTATTCCACTTTTTTTAAGAATTGCGGAACTTTCTCGCGGTACGTATGTTAAATAATACACTGACACCTACTCGCTGATGATCAAAGTTCTCTGGCATATATCGCTCGGGTGACAGTGTATCATTTCACACATAACTTTGTTTGGTCAATGGAACGTATCAAATCGGTCCCTAATTTTTGTAACGACTTGAAAAAAAATTTGGGGGCGGTATACATGATAGGATCATCTTTAGGACCGTTGATCACATTACCATGCCTGATACCATGCCTATGGTACCGTTCTATCTCATATAACCAGATTGATGTTGGGGAAATACTTTTGTCCTTTGACTATTTCTCCTGTTTTTCTTTTGGAGAACTGAAAATCATTTGTAATGAACATTACAATGCAAATCAAGTCAATATTCCATCCAACTAAACTCACAGAATGACAAATCCCTTAACGCATCACCTCGATATATACTATTAGCAAACACAGGCAAAATGCGCCCATCTCAAATTTTAACCTGTATATACTGATAGACAAGTATCTACCATATTAACATTTTATTTAGTTCCTTTTCTTTCTTATATTATATAAAAAAACAGTGACATTAAAAGTAGCATAAGCAGCCAACAATGTTAACATGTAACATAATAAGCTGAATAAATTATTATTATTATTATAAATAAGTACCCACGTAAATCAAAATACCTTGAGTTAGGCCTATTCGTTGGTGGCACTAAACTCTAGCCTCATAGATTTTTGGTGTCTAAGAAGCAGTATCGCACCGGACTAAATGCCATTTTCGACATAAGTCATATATAATATACGTTTTAATCTTAGTGGACCACATTGTCTTTCACAATTTTGACAAAAATCCGCCAAATGTACGGATAAAATTCCGTTAGAGTAAAAACAAAACAAGCAATACTTGAAAGAAAATTCCTTCACCTTGTCTCCAGCCATTGTAATTAAAATTTCAAATGGTACGCCAACGATGCCCATAAATTAGAAAAAAGTAAAAAAGTGTGCATTATTTCATCTCGAAATGACAGTGACCATCAGAAAGCGGCTAGCGTCAACATTCAATCCCACACAATACTCGACTAACAGCGGGATTCTACAAACAATCTTATCTCTACTACGCGCCCTAGGCTCTTCCTGTCCGCATGGCTCCTTTACCTACTTGAAATTAGTTTTCTCCGTAAATAAAAAAAGTTTTGATTAAGATATGATCTTACTTGAATATAAACCTTCAGGTATTTTCTTGAAAATCTACGAAAGTTTCAATTTTCACAGATTCATAAAACTATTAGTGAAATTTGCTGGGATATCTGAAGGTGGCGCATAAGGCATGAGCTACTGAAGTGTAAACGAGATAATTTGATTTTGAAATTAGGATCAGTATCTGTTCTACGTAAGTTTTAAACATTTGTGTTATTATTCCAAACCAGGTTGAATTAAAGTCTATTAGGCAATAAGTATTTTAATTTGGTGTCTAAAAATATTGAACAAGTGATTGCATCTTAGATTTTTGTATCAAAACAATCATTTTGTGTTCTTAATTTTGATATGTAGAGATTTTGTTGGAATTAATCATATACATGTATATTGAAGGGTCTTTTACTAACAATTACCCAAAATTATTTGAAATGATGGTAATAATCCAGATCGATCATTCTTGAGGTCCAATTACTTTTGTTGTGTTAATAAATAGAATTAACGCAATGACCAGATAGGCCTATTGGAACCGGTTTAGTTTTTTTTTTTTTTTTTTTTTTTTTTTTTTTTGCAAAACCAACGAAGCAGTTTAAATTTAAATCATCCATCAAGACATGTTCAAAACCAAATAATATAACCCATAAAAATGGCAAGGTCTGCACACGTCAATTGCCTGAAACCAGCTATATTCCTTACACTGATAAATTCGTCAACATTGGTGAGCTTAGTTGAATAATGGCTTATACTTCCAGATGTCCTCCTGTTGAGCATGCATATAAATGTATATATAGTAAGACTACATAGAAAAATCAAATGAAAAAAATATCATCACTACAAAAAAGTATGACGTAAAACGCATGGCCAATGAAGAATTGCCTGACTAATTTCAATATTTAACAGGTAAGAGGAGGGTTTATGAAACGCATCATAATTTTATAAAATATATAACTAAATGTGTACCTCAAATATACACCTAACCCCTATAAGTTATCCATCAGAGTAAAAGTGTCTTCTTTGGTTTGATTCCTGAAGAATGATACAATTGAAGCAACAGGTAAGCAACGGTCACCAGGAATGCATACATCCAAAAGTAGAGAGACCACGGGGTATAGAATAAAAACGAAATGTCATCCATAGATTCACACGATCTCCCATCCCCGTGGTTGTTTTCGTAAGGTTCCAACATTCCCATTCCACTTGTATCTGTTGGCATGTTGTTCGAACCTTGTTGTTTACTTGTCACTCAATCCCGATTCAGGGAGCGGATGCTACTGCTAAGGCGGTAAAGACGCCTCAGCCAATAGGCTCGCGAGACCGCTTGCTGGAAACTTTATCCATGTAACAACATCGTCTGCGTGCTGTAGCTACATAGGTCGTCTGCCAGCTTTTTGCTTCTTATCTTAGACCAAGAGGCGCTGGTCTTCCAAAACTGAGCATCTTTGGTAAACGCAGACGATCGTTTCTGATCGGCCAGACGATCAGGTAGAGTTCGATAAGAAAAAGGCGGCAACCAGGGGAGGAGAACGAAGGGATGTCAACACAAGCTCCACATTTCATTAAGTCTGAGAATATGTTTGATAAATACTCGACCAATTTGACTCATGATAGCAGTTTGGATCTTGGTTCAACGCAGACGAATCACTCTCCATTAAGGGGTACTCCTACAACGGTCAGCCTGAACACGCACTCCATTGACGAAATCCTTGGTAACAAGAGGGAGATGAACAGAGGTAGGTCTACGTTCTTATGTCTTACCTTCCACAAGGCTTTAACCAGACTAAGCTTTCTTTAACAAATTCACCTCGGTTTGTTACTGTGCCTTATCGAATAATTTAGTAGATAATGAAATAATTGTTAAGTGGCTTCAACTCTAATCGAATCTGTCACCGTTAGACCATGGGAGAGGCACCTCTGCTAAGCAGATAAATTTAGAGGAACACATAGTGTCTTGTTCGTAAGACATCCTGGAAAGCTCATAGCAGTTTACTTAAACCCTGTGTCTTACCTAGATATTTTATTTCGGATTTAATTTCAAAATTTCGTTAGCTTCTATGGAGAACGGGCGCCAACTTTTCTAATAGACTTGGAGAAGAAAGGCGAAGTAGGTCATGAACATTGTTCACTCGATTTGCGATTTCAAACTCGTTTAATTTCAAGGAGTTGTTTAACTGTTAAGAAAAAAACTAAAAGCTTTACCGAGGAGCCTTGCTGGTAAATTCGATTTATAACCCGCAGCTGCAAGTAGGAGCATCCACAAAAACGGTACTTTTATTACATTTCATTTCTCTTATTTAGACAATCCGATGATCATAGTAAGCCGACATGTCTCTTTTCAAAACATCAGAGTGTAAGCATTCTTAATGTGTTCGCTACATGCAGCAATAGCGGTTCTTTTATTAGGTTTCGGTTTTATATTCGGAATTATTTTGCATTTCATTTTGAATTCGGGCAATATACGCTCAAAGATATTACATGTCTTTCCTTTTCAGAAAATTTACTTGTTAAAGTTACGGTAAAAGTCTCTAATTTAATACATTAAGACACGAACCTCTTTATTGTATTAACTAAATAGACTAAAACAAAACCGGATCTCAAAACATATTTCCTTTTCGTACATTTAGACAATTTGATGATCGTAATACGGATTTGTGCTTTACCGGAGAATATCCTGAACAAATTTCGCTAAGTGTCTCTAATTTAATACATTATCGTATAAGCAGGCTTAGTGTGTTCACTATCCACCTGGGACGCTCTGATTGAAGGCAGATTATTTTCTTAGAAGATTATAGTAATATGAAATTTATTTACAGATACATTATGCTGAACACTGAAAGGTACTTACGTATGACCAGAAGGCCAGAGGGCCAGTGTATCTTTCAAATGTAAAACATAGTAATAGTGTTTTTCTTTTCTGCTCTATTTAAGTTTGCAGTCCGCCAGTGAATTGTATTCGAAACTTAGTTTCTTAGTTTATGGATATTAATTCTCGGATGGAGAAGACTTGTACATGCGGTAGAATTACTTAAATGTTTTGTTCATTCCATTTGTTTTATTTTAGTCTGACTAATGTTAATAAAATTTAATTACCTTGTATTGAATTTAGCAAATAATCTTTTAGTCGCTTAGATGAAAGTGTCTTTGAAATATTGCTTTAAAAGTAGACTCAAATATTTTGAACGGTCCTTTTCCGCGTATTTATTTTTATTCCGAAGCTGTTTGCCCTTCAGCAGTCAATGTACCACAAAATCTGTTAATTCAAACGTAAAGAATGTGGATTTTATGACTCTTTTTTTTTCTTGCAGAAATGGGGTCTAAAGAATTCCTGATTAATTTTGTCTTATAAAAACTCCTTAAATAAGTAAATAGGATGATTCCGATATCAGTACAAATGAGAAGATGCACAAGAAATAGAATAACGAGCATAGTTGATATAAAAGTAACTTAATGGTTCGTCTGTTTCTCATTAAGGTCGATCGTGGCACACTTTCATGATCATAATTGCTCTCCGTCCACATTAGAAATGGTGATCTCCAATCATGTCTAAATTGTTTTGCAGACGACATGCATATCCACAACGATGGCGACAATTGCAGTCTGGGAGCAACGTCCCCTACAGACAGCTGTGGCAATCCCAGCAGTATCTCCCCGGATCTAGCTCTCAAGGATCCCATAGGCTGTGATAACTCCCAGGGCGACGGGGACGGTGAACCCAAGAGGAAAAAGCGCCGAAATCGCACCACGTTTACGAGTTATCAGCTGGAGGAAATGGAAAAGGTTTTCCAGAGGACCCACTACCCCGATGTGTATGCCAGGGAGCAGCTTGCTCTGCGCTGTGATCTCACTGAGGCCAGGGTGCAGGTACGACCGGTCTATATGGATAGTATTTTAATGTAATATTATGAGCCATGATATACTTGTTTTATCGTTATCTCGATTATTCAACATTCCATATTTCAGGAGACTTTTTTCAGTGTAAAATGTCAAGTTTGGGATATTTTGTAATCAGTTCTTGTCCACTTAAGTCAAAATGATCAGGCAATAGCTGACCAAATTGTAGCACATGATATAGGACGCTGGAAATGAAATGTTACAAACACGTTCAAGTCCGATAGATATTATATGTAGATTTTGTGTTCATCTACATTGGAATAGCCATGCCTTATTTCGGAAATAGAATTAACTTTGGCACTTTTCTAAATATATTTGTATGGTTCTTCTGAACAACATTTTACTCAAATTGATTTATTTACACCAAGACAAAAGTTGAACCCATTTATGCCTTCCTACAACTCAAGTCAGAGGCATCTATGTAATGCCATACTTTTCAGTAAATCATACAAAGCGTTTGATCTAGTACAAGTTATATTTACGCAAGGATAAAACTAGGCGCTTTCATTCTAAAACAAAGAATATGCTCTTTGGAATCGGCGTGGGAAGTTAGCCTGAATACCGTGACACTTTTCAATCATTCCAAGTCTATGAAAGTAAACTGGCGTAAACAGCCGCGAGGAGGAAGCAAGTACTCAAAGATAAAGATCACTTAGGCACGTGATCTATACCAGACTGATTTCCGTTAAGAATGGAATATTCTAAAATTTTCATTGATCTGCAAAATAATTTCAAAAGTTTTACCACCTTTTTCAATTTTTTTTTTTTTTTGAAAATTTTAACAACTGTTTCATTATACTTTTACTGATACCAATTGAATGATTTACCAGCAGTTTTTAAATTTGGAATTCAATCCTTTGGGTTGTTCATACTCAGCAAAGCAGACCTACCGCTCAAAAAGTGTAGCAACTTAAGATACGCCAAAAGATTAATCACAAAGATGCACAATAGATTATTATGTAAATCGTTCAGCAAGTAGCCGCCCTAGTAGTTATCATTCAGAGGCCTTCGTCCTCCAGACAGTCAACAACTCTTTGCAAAACACACCATCACAAACTTATATACAAAACTGATATTTATGGTCCCAAGTAAGGCTTTTATAGTGGAAATATATGAGGCAGGCCGAGGCAGGGTCGACCAAAGAGCAACTATGTTCTTTTAAACTATTCAGATGCGAGTCTTTTTTTACCACAAACATCACAATTAGGACTGCTGTAATACAACGTCTTGGGTTCTGCATATAATACATTTTTCAACAAATTTGGGCAATAAGGCATTGTGAACTTAATTGTCATTCCTTTTTCTGAAGCTTTCAAAAATATATTTCCATAATCTTATGCTCCGAAAAAATAGTTTGTTTAAATTATTAAACTATTTCATGTCACCTGTTTCAGTGGTTTCCTTGACAAAGTGTTTTTGATCATTACTTTCAAAAGAACCGCAACACAACTGCAACTGTGTGCAGAAAAAACTCCAAAACAGTAATTAAGAGTACTCCCTGGATGTGATCGCCTGTGTCCCTGACAGCTTATTTTTCTTTGGTGAAAGATACAGTGCCTTAAAATATTTTGACTTTTAGACAAGAAATGGCTGTAATTTTTTATGAGCACCACCCCTTCCCATATACTTCCAGTTTCATTGATTTCTTTTCTAACTGAAAAAAAGATGCGCATTTAAGACTTTTTAAACACAAATACTCAGAAAATATTACATAGATTTAATCAGAAATTTGTCAAAATACCTAAGTATATACAGTGTACATTAGTTACAAATTTTTGTCGAACTCTGTATTTCAAATATACCGAGTGAACGGAAATCAGCAGTTTGAAATCTTCAAAATACCTAAATATACACAGTGTGCTTTAGTTACAAATTTTTGTCAAACTCTGTATTTCAAGTATACTGAGTAAACGGAAATCAACAGTATGAAATCGTCTAATTAATCCGTAATCGGCGTGAGAAAGCTACAAACAAATCTTAAGCTCACCACTTCTATTTATTTGAGCAACAGATCACATCACGGACTCCCGTGTCTAACGTGTATATCGTATAATGTAGCCATTTGCAATTTACGCCTTATCACATCGAGTTACAGCAGAAGCCTAGACTCTGTGAATCCACCTAGACTTGCGACCTCAGTCCACCCCTAGCTCTTATCATTGTGGATTCTGTAAAATTAATACAAGAGTTGTAATTGATTTTAGGGGATAGTTTTCGACCCTGATACCCTTGCCAAAACGCAGAGGGAACTAGCTATTGAAGATTGGAGTTTGAAGTGAGAGATAATATCTCCACTTTGCGATGCTTCGCTCTCAATTTCGAGAAACGCGTGATTGTCTTCCAGCGTCCTTTCCTCTTTTTCCCTCGGTGTATATTTTTCTGACCCAATATCCATCTCTCTCTCTCTCTCTCGCTTTTAGGTAAGATTTTTTTTCAAGAAATAGCTTTGGAAAGGAACGTTTTGAACTGACCATTGGTTTGCGTACATGTGAAAACATTTATTCGAACTATCGTAAATTATTTGATATTTCAGTGTCTAAATTACCAAGTATATGATTTTTTTTTCATTAATGTGCCCTTTATGCCTTTGAATAGAACGGAAAAAAGAACATATGGTGCCTAAACTCTCTCTGTCGATCGACCAGGTTTTTCTGAACATTTGCAAATCTTTTACGTGATTGCCTCCGTGAACAAATTTGACATGATTGGCCTACATGAAGATAACATGTCTCTTGCGGTAGGAAAAAATTAAGATAGCTAATGACATAAACCCTGGGGCTGATTTTGCGGCAAATTTATCAATACAAATTGTTTAAGGGGAGGCGATCTCTATCTTTTAATTGACCAAGAACTTTTGAGAGTCGACTTGAGCCATCGATGTGTAAATTTTGACATTTCTTGTTACAAGAAAACCGATCCGTTGTTGAATGGTAAATTAGATTAGAGACAAGAGGCAGCAGTACAACGTCTGACATCCACAATCCCGTCAATTCTTCCAATCCAATAGAATGCGACCATTTCAGAGCTGGAGATTTTGCATGGCTGATTTTTTGGAAGAGACTTTCACCTCTGGATTTTCGTCGAAGTTCAAACAGCTGTTATACACGGGCACTTGCATTTAAACTCGAGGAATCTGCTTATGATGATCGATTTTCGACCCCATCTCCGCGAGTTAACTTCCATGATTGTAATGCTGAAAAGAAGAGAAAAAAACTAGCAATGCAGCTCCTATAAGTACACTTTTGAATTTTCATATATACAGTTAACTTCGTGATATTTGGTATATCTAAATGGTAGATTTTAAGTTTTAAAAATGCGTGTAAAATAGATTATAGATATAGATTATGGAATTAAAGGATTCCACAATACATACGTAGACGCGAAAATGAAAGGAAAACAGACATATAAGATAATAAGAGGTTGGAAACAAATTATTATTGAATCAGGTGGATAAAATACTGATATGAATATAACAGTATTTTGTATTATGCACCATTTTAGTAAGTTTTGTAGTTCGCCTTTTACCTTTCATTTAGACCGACTTGCTGTATTTGAAATGTGGATGGTAAAACGTTACAAAGTAAAGCCAATGGTCGCCAGTCATTAAATAACCAAATGCGACTTTATTCAAGAAACTTATTTGAGGGTACATCAGACAAATTTAACTGTCGGTTTTTATTTTCTTGGTAATTGCATAAAAGAATAAAACATACAACCAGAGGCAGCAAAACGAAAGTCAATACTTAACAAAGAGAAACAGGAATCAAAAGTTGCTTTCTCTGATAACTAATTAGAAAACTAACCCTTACCCCTCCCTTTACTTTACCCCATCGTCGTCGGTGTGACCAAGCGGTGGGTCTGCGTGAGAGCAATTATACAAATTACAAATCCACTGGTTACTTATCGACAAAACCGTCCAAGATAATGTTCGACAAGTAAAAGGTTGCTGGAAAGTCTTGTCAAAGCTGTAGGCCAATTAGAAAGATGGAAGCAACCGGGTAAAAGTATGAGGCTAAATAACGCTGACATATCCAAAAATAGCAAACCGAAAGACTACAGTGAACGCTCGTGAAGCCGACATATCCTCTTTCAAATATCCTGAAGTTTTCTTGCAAGGAAAAAAGAAACGCCTTTCTAGAGAATAAATTGTCTTGAAGTTAGAAGTTTTCAAAAGCCTGGTTCCGATATTTTTATAATCATACACGTATTTCCAAGGTTCAATTAAAATAGGAAAACGTCTTTTCAGAATATAGTCATGTTTGTTTCCCAGAATGAAACAGTGTAGGCAAGCTATAACTATAGATAAAATATAGATGATATATGATTTTCAATAACTAACAAAATACAATAACATCTGCCGTGAATATATTATTATAAACTTAAAACTTCATGGTCTCTCTCTCTCTCTCTCTCTCTTTCTCTCTCTCTCTCTCAGTTCAATTTAACGTTTTAACCCCAATTTCAAGACGTCGAGGACCGATTCTGGCGTCACGTGCCTTAATTGCTTTACATGGGAGGCAGGAAAAAGTCAAGCAGAAATCGCAGAGTGAAAATGATCTCTACAACAGAGTCGAGAGAGCAACGATGCGAAATCCGACATCGGTTTGCGCCATGTTTACAAGACGCTGGCATGTCAGACTGATTAAAAAGCACGATCTTCAAAGGCAGCGCGTGGGATCTCAATATTCAAAGTTTGCATAGAATGCGAGGGAAAGTTGTTGTTTAATTTTTCTAGGTGATTACTCAACATTTTATTAGTGGAGAAGTTGGAGATGCAAGAAATTGGGAAGATTCCAAAGCATATGTGATTGACACGGGTCAAGTGCGCTTTTTACTCCCAAAAACAACGAATTCTGATGGCTTAGTCTCCAGTTGCCTCAGAGGACGGAAGTATAAGATAAAATATCAATCTGATATTACAGTCTGGATACCTTTAGAATAATTAAGCCGAACAGCTCAGAGTAAATTACGGGCTATTAGCCACAAAAAAACAGCCAGATGAGGACGGGGTGCTTCACTATACCACAGACTCGTCTCGCCAAAGTCATTCACATATATACATGCCAAATGATGCGATATTTTATATTTCCGTCTTTTCCCATGCCAGTCCTAGACTCCTAAACAGAGATAGAAAATAATTGCGTCTACATTGTTCCAGTGGCTACTTCTCAAGGATGACCAGCCACATGAAAATAAACTGTGAATCTTACGAGCGCCAGGTCATCTCCGCGGTGTTTGCATAATAATCACTTAGGTAAAATGAGGAACCAAATTGGTATAAATTGAAATCAATGGGAAGTTTGTTTTATTCGGTAATGCATTGGAATGTTGAGTGCATCGCGGCTGAGTTTATTTATATTCGAGTCCCTGAAGATACAAGGGAGCAGATGTACATAGGGATACCGTGTATGAATAAATAAACAACGAGTTATCTATACTGCCAGTACAAGGGGAACAAGCGTAACAACATGAAACAACTTCGTATGACGGTAAAGGTCTGCAATTACGTGATATATTAGCAGCACTTAGAAAATAGAAACACCAAAGATCCATGCGTCTTTCAGTAAAAATGCCTTTCGGTGTTAGCTAAATACGTACAATATTGGTTTTATAAAAACGCCTTGGATTACAAACTGACATACTTATTCTCGTTATGATCATTATTATCATTTTTCTTATGTAGTCGTTATAACTGATATTTAGTCTGTTAATTCATTACTTACTGCGTAAGGTGGTGCTTTATAAAATTAACTCATTTGCTCGATAACATTAACTCATTCAAATTATGAAAAAATACCTTAATAGGAAAGGAATCTCTCAAAAATTAATAATTTCAGTCTTAAAGGGCTGAGCAAAATTAAGTGAAGGTTTATTAAAAGTTTGAATGTTTGACTCGGAACAGACTTATCATCTTCAAAGCCAAGGCTTTTAAAATATAGAATACTACAAACTGTATATAACTGCATATAACAAATATATATATATACCTGAGATGAGTATGCAACATCAGCTGCAAAGGAGAGTTATTGTACCAATTTACATATCTCGAGTTCATATGACTTTAGAGGCAAAACGTGTATCAATATCAAAAAACACATTTAATAAGATGAGCCCAATACTAAAGAACAGAAATATCTTTATGGACACTAAAATAAGAACATTGAAAACCAACTCGTGGTCAGTCCTCTTGTATGGATGTGAATGGTGGAATATCCCCAACAACACTAAATGCTACAAAAATGTGGTACCTAAGAAGATTGTTGAAAATATCCTGGACAGAAAGAAAGACCAATGAAAGGAAGTGTTAAAGAATTGGTACAATGGTTACTGATGAAAACAACCAGAAAAAGACAAATGAAACATCTGGTTCATACCAGCAGGAAAGACGGACAGAAAAACTCAAAACTATTTGGTAAAATTGAAGGAGGAAGAAGCAGAGGAAGACAAAGAACATCACACATTGGCTTCTAGTTTTAATACTTTTGCAACAAATCAACGACCGCCAATCAGCGAACTCGCACAACTGACTGAAAGTAGAGTGGTCTGGAGGGCCATGATCATCTATGCCTGCACCAGGCCTGACACTTAAAAAGAAAGATACCCGAGATTATTTTTGTATGATACGATTTTTACATGTAAACAACTGAAAATGGCACAAATTTGTTGAAATATAATAACCAGTACACTATATATTTAGTTTACCGTCCGTGGACAATTTTTTCTGTGCACTAATTGTCAGAAAGCATGGCTCCGCTTTCTTCATATGTGTTCAATATTCTACCTAGACAGTCAAATTAGCCTCTCAGACTTTACGCTTCTAATCCGTTTGTATTGCAGCAGATTTTCTCTCTAGGATACCTCAACCTATGGTTCACATGCCGTTCTGATTCCCCGATAACACTGGCCTGGTCACTGCAGGGTTAGGTGTAAGGACACGAGAAGACTTGACCCTTGTGACCAAAAACATATGCTGAAACGAATTTGGAGATTGGTCAAATATTAGACCTATTTTACACCCTTAACCTCTGCTTTATATGGCATCCTGTTACTGTGGCATTAGAAGATATTCTCATGTCGTATTTCTTTTACTAACTCCAAATTGTCCGATATTTGTAGAATGAATACCCTTTTTGCAGTACTTTGCCGAAGCTAATTTAAAATAAAGTCCAATCCCCAGACACTTTATGATAAGATTCTGCAAACTGCTCAAAATCCCTTCAGTCAGTTTGAGTTAAAACATCTGAATAGAACATTCAGCTTACGAAAATTGCAATGCAAATAAGATGAATAAAATTTTGGCACAATCGATTGATAAGGGGTAAAGGAATAACTCAAATCAACGTTTTGAGAAACTCATTTGGTTATTGCTCCATCAGCCACAGGTATCCACGTGCTGAGCCTCCGTTGAAAATGAGTGAAATTCTCGAATAATGAAATAAGTTCTCTTATGGGCATGAACATAAAAAACATAAAAAATATACACCCTCCGTCGAAAATGAGTAAAATCCTCGACTGGTGAAATAAAGTCTCTTATGGACATGAACATAAAAAAAAACATAAAAATATATATACTGTGCCCAATTTAAAAAACGTTAACATTTAAGATGTGTTATCACCACTTGAAGAAATACGTCTAAAATTGGATTAGCTTGCTAAGGAGATAAAAACCTAATGTGAGGATTATGACAAGCTGCCGACTTGGGTGCAGAACTGCTTTTTAAACTATAAAACAAAAAGTTTGACTTCTAAAAAGAAAATAATAATAATAATAATAATAATAATAATAATAATAATAATGTTATAAAATAAAAAGGAAACCTGCATGTCCATTGAATTCATGGAATTATTATGTTAATCAAACTAGACTAAACCTTACCATCCGGCATCATTCATTCAATTTGGAAAATTTGGAAAACCATAAAGAAGCATTTAATAATGCAGCGGTATATAAAAGAACTGGTCTGTTAGATTTCGCATGCTGGCAGTATTTTGCTTGCATTTGAAGACGCGTTGAATTAATTGTCCTCATCATACCTGATAAAGTTTATTTAAAAAAAAAACTGAAAAGGTATTTACAAGGTTGAAGAAGTATTACATACAGTAGTCTTTGCTTACAGAGATAGATTATAATGAACAGAAAAATGGTTACCTTAAAAGGATACGCATTATTCATTTCCTTTTATCTAAAGTAAGAAAAATATTTTTAAAAGATAAAGCACAAGTGTTTCCGTAAATATAGTATTCAGAATTCGACGTCCTCTCTGCTATTGATTAGACGGGTATTGTTCTTACCAGTACTTAGAACGCAAAATCAAAAATAAATTAATTGCTTCTTCTTTTTCTTGGCGTAGGAACGGGCCGGAAAATGTGCAACCATTCTCTGTACAGTTGCCCCCTGCTCGGATTCGACTTACAAAAGGTGTCTCGACCTTTTCTTAGTTTCTTAGATGTAACAAAAAGTGGTTAAGGATTGGAAGGCTTTTTGGTAATATTTAGCGCTTCTGACAGAGGTTTCACCTCTGGGGAGAGGGAAATTACATTAGGCTCGCTATATACATTGGGCCTGATCAGTATCAGCATATTTATTAAGAAAATAAACCAGTTTACTTTCAATTTTGAGAGAAAACACTTATGCTCTCTCCGACCAGGTTCCGATTGGATATAATCTGGTACCGGGGTGCAGTGAGCAGTTATTTTCGAATGTAATACATGGTTGGTAAAATTGTAACTTGCACAGAGGTCGCATACTATCTGGCCCCATCTCACCGACTCTAAATTGCATTTTCTTCGGTTACAAATCCCAACAAACTCCAATCAGGCTTAAAACAGATAAAACAAGATCATTCACAAATTGCCATCAACTTAAATTGACCTCTTGTATAGCCATGTGGTGACTTTACGATTTACATTATGATTAATGGAATTAGCTTTAAATGCATTAATTAATTAGATTCTGCGCCCCACAGGCTCTCTTTAGGAAAGATACAACTTACGCTTCATGTTTCATCCCTTCAGCGACAAAGACTTCTTAAGCAATTCTTCCTCGCCGCAGAAAACACGCTCGCTGTCTAAGATTGTTAGAATCTACCAGGAGACAATAAACGATTTCAGTTTTTTCAACAACTTACGTAATTATATGTGCTGTTTACAACATGGAAATAAATTGAGAGATATTGGAGTGTTAATGTTCTTTAACGTATTCTTGTTGTTTTCCATTAAGTAAGGATTTCGACGCTTCAGTTAAGAACACTTTAGAGCGATATTGACTTTGGACATAAGAACGATTTTATCCGTGTCTTATGGCATGAAATTATCTTTTGGTACATACTCTTTCAATAATACTCTTTCGCGGTAATTACAATTATCAGTTAATCCTTTTGGTCTTTTTTATATGATAAACGCATTTACTTTCTTTTCTTCTTTTTTCGTGGAGGGTGGGGGTGGTCCCCTTGCCAATTCAAGTATAGGCCTATGTTACCTCTGTATCAGTGGCAGCAGCGAACAAATTCGGTATAACAGTGCAATCACTGCAGTCTAACACTGTCCACTCTTCGTTTTGCAGGTCTGGTTTCAGAACAGACGAGCAAAATGGCGGAAGCGTGAGAGGTATGGCCAGTTGCAGTCCATGCGAGCTATGGCTACGGGGACGTCCCCGGGCTACGAGATGCCGATCGCTCCAAGACCAGATGCCTATCCACAAGTTCAAGTCAGCAACTTTCAGGTAAGATGAATGAAGATAAACATTACAATAATCGGTAATAAAGATAGAGAAGCAACATGAGATATAGTGCCATCAGACAGCGGGGACAAATGTTGAATATGAGCACACTTATGGTTTTGGTACTCTATTGCACTATTATGAAGATCAAAAACTGATCTAATACATTTGAATACTACCAGTAAATTGCTGGGATTTTACTATAATGAATACGTGTATTTGTATGAGATATTATTGAACCTTCCAAGGTGCCGTATAGTGGTTTTACAAAATATTAGAACATATTATATTCATTATAGTTCTTGGCAAATTTACACATTGTGCACAGTTTGGCTTCCCGTATTAAAGTATAGACGACATAACCATGCCCTTTCACTGGGTAGCTTGTGTGATTTGTAAACTGAATCTTGTTTTCGACAATCAAGACGAGTTTTATTTAGATTGTCATTATTTGATTTAGCCCTTTTTTCTAGGTATTTCATTTATTCATCTGTCTATTTATCTATGTATTTCTTGATTTTGCAGCCTATGCATCAGAACCAAATGTGGCCGAACAACGGCAACACTGCCTATTCCATGTCCAATATGAACGTGAACTCGTGTATGAACCCTCACCAAGCCATCCCAAACTTCATGAATCTATCGCACGTGGGCCAACTCGCGCAGCACAACGCGTCTCTGGCTCAACATAACGCTGCCCAGGCGCCGCACATGGGGTTACCGTGTACCCCCACCCAGACGCTAGACCCCTGTGATCAACGAAGGAGCTCCAGCATTGAGGCATTGAGACTTAAAGCCCGTGAACATAGCGTTAATATGGGTATGCTTAGTGCGTACGCTAAGTAGGTTTAGTTAAATATGGACATGGTTGGGTGTCAAGTCGGTCGAAATGTCTTCAATCAAATAAAGAGTAAAGACAACATCGCCAAATAAGGTGAATTTCGTTTGGTTGGCAACATTACAATTGCTTAAACGCGTGGAAGGAGAGAAATTCGACGACAGCTGGATTTATAGTTTGACACTGCTTGAACTTGGTAGGACTACCTTGAAGAAGGTCCAAAAAGCCAAGGACGGGGACTGATGGCTGTTAAATTCCTTGACATCACTTTATCTAGGTAATATCACACTGAACCACGTTCTGTCTACGATTACGTCAATTTAAGATTTTTCTGTTCGAACAATGCAAGAGACAACTATCTCAATCTATATGGGAATCCATGGATATCAATCACGTTTTGCAGAAATGTTCACCAGATGAATTCAGCACATATATTGCAGATTTGTCCCATGTACAGAAAACAGGCAAATCACGCTGGACAGCATTGATCACTATTATATGCAAAATAATCGGTTACGCAGAATCAGTGCTGCCAAGAAGTTGTGTGGAGTTAAAAACACTTTAATCCTGATGGTTTTGCTATTAAATCCGACATGACTGATATAGCAAAACGAACTTTGTGATCTTTCCGTCGCTTACAAAGTGCCTGAAGACGAAAGTTACGCCATAGAATTAGTATCAGTAATGTTAAATACATCTTGATTGGCGAAAAAAGGCTTATGATCCCTTAGCAATGTATTAGGCCTGCTGCTCCTTCTTGCAATTTAGCTGCAACTTTGCTGCAAATTAGCAGCAATAAAATATTTTTTGCAATCTCCTGCAAATTCGTAGCCGCAAACTTTTAGTTTACAGCAATATTGCTGCAAACTTTTCATTTTGCTGAGGGATGATCGCGAGTAACTGTAAGAAGCATATCTTTATGTTAAGATCTATAGTTTTGGAAAAACGACATCTTTGCTTGAAATCCGTCCAAATCTTTACAAAAGCTAATGTCGGCACTTTCTTTGTAAATTGAATTAAAGTATTAATATTTTTAGATAAAAAATGTAAATATGTATATATATTCAAATATGGTACTATGTTTGATTTAAATTTTGACGCTAAGCTTCGCGCTTTAGAAATTACGAATGATCTACACTTTTTCACAAAATTCACCATATGAAATGAGTAAGATATTTATTGTATATAGAAAAGTAAGATGAAATACCGGTGGATATAATATACACATATCATTTTATAACTTCATGGTATCCGTGAGAGTAGTGCGCGGGACATTAACATACCAACCCTTTTAAAAAGGGGTTATGAAAAAAAATACTTTCAAGCTACACGTCAGCGCCGGTGAAAGATTTTCAAGACCTTAAGAATGTTTTCCTTTAATGCTTTATTAGGATATGCAAAAGAAAAGTTTTGTTAGTTTTTGGTTCTCAAAATATTTTATAATTTCAGTGCTTTTGCTCGTTTATCAGCTGATGGAATTTTGAATCACCGCATTCACAAAGTGCCTTCAGAACTATTTTACCTGTATTGATGAATGATGCCATATTAATCAAGATACTATAAATCATTCTGATGTGATATTTTCAGTGCCAAACGTTGCAATAAAATGTAAATAAATGTAGTCATAGGGTTAAGATGGCTAAAGTATTTTGTTATTATTTGAATAAGGTTAGTAGTTTAGTACAATCATGTTTGATTCAGAGTGAGCGACCAGAACACTTATGTATATGTTCGACATGCAAATGTCAGGAAAATCCTGTAAAGCAGAGGTTTATATCGAGTTTGATAAGAAAAAGGGAAAACATCCAAGGTAAAACGTTTTAAATTTCAGAGCAAATCCAGGTGAAAGGGTCTCTGCCGCCGCTCTTAATCTGTAATACCAAAGTTGAAATGACATAACTTTCCACATTCTAAACAGACGCCTATCATGCGCCAAATCTCGCTTGTGTACATGCAATGCTTTTAAAGGTGCTGGCATGTCACAGAGTATTGCTCTCTAGTAAACAATATGAAGAATGTAAACAAAGAATGAAAACTGAAAAACGTACATCAACTATGAGACAATGTTTTTTGGATCAAATTTCATTTGCAATTTAAGATAACCTAGAAAGAAATGAGACACTTTAAAGAGACCTGTTGCGTTGTGTGATGGTTTGATGCTATCGTTAATCACAAACTTATTTACTGGATGTTATAGTAAGCCCCGTTTATTCACAATGAAAATAAGTTATATAACAATTTTGTAAATTACACAAACAAGTCACTTTGAATATTATACAAAAAGTATTTTAAAATTTACACTTTTACTCATATTTATTTTACCACACCATAAAGAATAATTAAACTAAGTACTAACTGGTTCTGAAGAAGCTATGGAAATCTATTCAACTTGACAGGAATACGCAAAATAGATGACAAAAGTTTGTCAAACAAAGCAAAGGCAGTAGGTTTGCACCTGATAACATCAGAAATCATGGGTGTTTATATTATCAATCTAAAAATCTGTGAAAAATAATGATAAATATGATATGTACAATTTGAAAATTATTTAATTAATTGTGCAATAAATATGCAAATAAATAAATAAATAAATAAATAAATAAATAAATAAATAAATAAATAAATAAAAGTAGTAAGTAAATATTAGGACTATTATGCAATGACCAAGCCAGAGTCTCTTTGTTTTAATTTACATTGCTCACCACTGGGGGAGTTGGTAAATAAATGGAAAGGTCATTGATACAGATTTATGCTAGAAATATCTTAGCCAAATTCAATTTCACAATAAAGATTAATTTTCAGTAGCTTTCTGAACCCAATTCAGTTATTCTTTCAATTATCACCAGGTATAAGACAATGTTGTTTCTTTGTGTACTTCTCGTACCTTCTTTGAAGGTTTTAATTGTAAGCTTTTTTGCCTTCTAAGAATCACTTTACTAGTAGGCATGCAATGTAGTCAAGATTCTGTGGGGATGATATTTCCTTTGGACTCTGTATCTGGAATTCACACTTGCAGTCTACATAATGAGCATTTCTAAAAGCCCAGGAGAGATACATTGCAATTTTTAGTCTGGTTAACATATGGAGAAATAAACAGTTGTAGAGCATTCACTTAATAACAGAGTAATTTCACGGCCACAAGCCTAGTATGGCTCCTAAGATTTGATTCATCTTTTCCTGAGTGAGAGTATCTATATTGTTTGCTCAGACGGGTGTCAAATTTGAAAAACTTGTTCTTTCAGTGCCTGCCAAATCCATTATATATACGAGATCTATTGGCCTTTTCCTCGAGGTTTTCATTCCTCATGCTCAAGTGAAGAACACATTGCCCAGTAAATCCAGCAACTCACAATCTACTAAGTCCAGTGTCTAGGATGTATTCTGTGCTTTTGGCTTTCCTCTTGTAAAGTGGATTCTGTTTAAATAAAAAAGAGAACCTAATTTTATGCTCTCAAGTATCTAGATACTCTGTTCTGTATTTAAGTCTGTTCGGTATACAATACACATTTAAAAGACCCCCATCTAAAATTCAATTTTTGTGTAATTACCCAGGTTCAGATTACACACTGAGTAACCTGGTTTGGAAGCTTAGGGGGGCAATCCACTTAAACAGGTTTTGTTGACTTTTTTTGCCATTTTCCCTAAATGCTTGAAATGAACTTTCACTTCTTCATTTATTCATCATGAAATACAAATGGTGAAATGTACAGATATTTTTTTTTAACTTTTATGATAGATAAAATGTATCCTTTTTCTATACCAAATATCAAATTCTGTTTGGGGAACAAACTTCATTACCACTACATGTATGAGCCTCTGTGCTTGATTTCCAACGTCAATTGTTTTAATGCAACTCATGCAATTTAAATTGAAGAAAAAATTGTGCCCTCTATGCCTTTATGCAAATACAAGAAAAATAAAAGTCTTGTTAAATCTTCAAAAGGCGTATGCAATATCAGGTGTTTTTAAAATAATCCTTATTCTACTTACCTGGAAGCTATTCACAGTGTTATACCTGTGGCCCTCTTGGGCATCTGTGGCATTCATTGTGTTGCTGTATTCCTGAGGATCAAGAAGCTGTAAAAGGAGGAGGCATAATTCTAATATTATACAATGCATTAAAATTTTACAAGACTCTTCATGCTAGCAATAGGGTTTCTAAATATCCAAAGCGCAACCAAATATTTCATTTAGATAAGTACAAAATTCTAAATGAGCATTCATGAATATCAAAATGTGGAAATCTAATCAAAATGTTCCACGTTTAATTAATAACAAGTATAACTTCAACATATATCTCTTACAGAGACAGTTATCTCTTTCTGCTCCAGTGCATATTTCTTACCAATTCGTCAGCACATCTTATAGGTTCAGATGTAGTTGACATTCTATCCTCTTCAGAACCCCCGACAAACCTTTTGGTCTTCAATATCCCCCCTTTGTTATTACTGTAGCCTTGAGGGAAAGAAGACATCATAATTGCCTCACTGGACTGAAACCTGCGTGGATTGCGTGGAGACTCAGGTGGGCTTGGAACCATGGACAATGCATGGTGGGATTGGCTAAAGTTACTCAGATTCCTCCTGGGAGGCGGAATTGGGGTGTGAGAGGCTGAAGAAGGCCATTTTTTGTGGCTCATAGGTGGAGTCATGCTGATAGAAACATTGATTCCAAAATCCTGGGACTGATGCTGAGGAGAGCGTGATGGTGTCTGAGGTGGCGTTTGCCAGCTACGTTGAGATGGGGTTGCAGTGGAGGTGGGACCTTGGTATAGGTGGCGTTGTTGCTGGCTAGAAGGAATGGTCAAGTTGTTGTCTCTAGGCAGCGACATAAAAGCTGATTCCAACTGAGATGGAGGCCTGGCACACATGGCTAGATGGCGCTTAATGGCTTCAGCTTTTCCACTTAAATTAAATATTTAGCAACAACTTTGAAAAATTAATATTAAGGGAAAAAATCAAAAAATGCAAGTGAAAATCCAAAAATATATCAAGTACATCTAATTCTAATGTATTACTTATACATTGTAGTTTGACAAAATTATAATAATTACACCAACAATAATGGTGATAAATGAACAGTCCATTATCTACATTATATTCTCAAGAGATATTCCAGGATCTTAGAAATAATCTTTCAGTACAACTTAGCATTAAGAGCTAAAACCTGACAAGCAACATACAGCTGCATAATACAAAACAATGTAGCTGACCTACCTTTTTCTGGCAAATATGACACACAAACAGCAGGTGATCAAGGTAACCAGGATAAATCCACAAAACACACACAGAATAATGACAAAAGCTACTAAAAAATCAAAGAAAAAAATATTTATACACATATCATTTACTATAATAATTCTAAGTATAACCTATTAGCATTCAATCAACCTTTTTATTTTCTATTAATATGATTTATAATCAAATACTTAAAACATCTTGCATTACAAAATATAAAAAGTTCAAAGATAATATAAATACAATAAAACATAAATTGCAACTTACAATATCCATTTAGCTGACAATGCTTCCCTACAAACCAATTGATGCACCTGAAAATGGTAAGGAAATTCTCCTGAAGAAAACAGATTCTATCACATGACTGTGCAAGTACATAAAAAGTTAATCAAATATAAAATGTTAGCATGATCCCTCACCTTCCCTCTACATATACTTTATATCATTATCAGATAATATACATGCTGGAAAGACAGTAGCAGCATATGTTATTAACACTGACCTGCACATTTGTTCACCCTCCACATTGTCACATATACCTCCATTCAGGCAGCTACAGGACACTATAGTGAAAATGTGAAATACATCAACACATATTACCAAAATCATATTCCCTTTTAAACTTCAGGCATTCTTTTAATTGTTGGAACATATCCTCAGTATGGCAAACATTCTAATACATTTACACAAGGTTGTTATTATTTTCCTCTTTAACACTCATAAAGGTTTTTTTAGACTAGATTCAAAAAGAGTGGGAAGAACAATGAGAACATTGCTATCATTTTCCCCTACAGTGTCCTTAAGAAGACATTTTAACTTACAGGGTTTTATGGAGTTGTAATGAGTTAATATGGCAAAAAATGTGTACTCACATATACATTTTTCCCCTGGCACCAGTGAGGGTTGAGGAGACACATCACTGTAACCTTCCTTACACAGGCAGGAGAATGCACTCTCAACATGGATACATTGGGCATTCACATCACAGTAATTAAATAAGGGGTCTTCACATGCATCAACCTCTACAATGTATAAGTGGTGAAATGTTACAGCACAAATGGTTTATTATATCCTTTTTTAATAGAATGCAATTTTTAAAATCAAAAGACAAGAGACTGTCCTTTTCTATTAAACTTATGAAGTTAACTATTTCTAATCTGTTTTTTACTGTTTGATGCAGATACAATACTTTAAAAGTGACTAATACTAATCTTAAACAAATATCAAGAACAGTCTGGGAAATAAACAAAAATATTTCCACATTAGGATAACTCAAAACATCAGATGAAATAAATACTATTCTAAATAGCTGAAGACATACCGGATGTAGTAATAGAGTTGAAAAAGTTATCAACAGGGCTGTCTTGGGACCCTATGATTAAATCTGTTCCCTTTATCACAGTAGTGCCATCTGGTGAGTGTTGCTTCATCATATTCAAACCAGTTTGTATGGCTCCCTTGATCTGAGAATACAGAAAAAGGATCAAATGTCAGTTAAACTTCACTGAAACTGTCTCAAATTATTATAGGCAAAACAAAGTATATGTCCTGCCATTGGGTCTAAGTATTGACCTAAAATCTACACCTAACTTTTACAATATTGGAACTAAATGCTTAACTTTTGAAAACAATTGCAAATGCTGTTGGCACTAACCCTGTGTTTATTATGCATCTAGGGGGAGCATTTAGATAGACACATTATACTAGTTAAGACACTCTCAGCTAAACTGAATGACAAGCCTCCTCGAGCAGCTAGTTACAAGTTACATGTAATTACCCCCTAGCTGCTTGAGGAGGCTTGCAGGGGGATTCCATTGATTGCACTTAGCAAGAATCCCCCACAGAGAACGACTGACCCAGTCTACCACTCTGTAAGAGTACCGACTTAAAAAGTCACTTACATCACGGCCAGTGGCCAACACCTCCCTATCTATGGCCAACTCTAGCTCAGTTTTAGTGCTCCCCTCACTGTAGCCAGCCACATGGACCCCCAGTAGTACAGAGTGCAAACTGCTACCTGCATCCATCAGCTGTAACAAACAGGGAAAGTGTTGGGGTTGTAAAATATATTGAATACTGGTGGAAAAAGACTGTTTAAATAATAATTTATACATGATGACTATTTTTTTCATTACACTATGGTTTTTTAAAAAATGCAATGTTTATAACATCAATGTAAGAGGTTTGCAGTTTAATACAAAACTTCATTTTAAAACATAGAAAAGTGTTTGAACAAATAAAAAAACTCTTGATCTGGAATTAATTCAGATTTTCTGATGAATTAGTCAGATAGGACCAGAAAAGGTAAGACCAGCTGCAAAACACGTACAGAATATTCAACCTGGCTTGAAAAATTTTTGTAGTAGGAAGACTTTGGATCTTGTAACTCTGACCTGTAGGTATTCAAGAATGTCATGCTTCCTTTGATGTACCTTACACCTGAAAATATAAGATCAAACCAAAGGGTTGGTTAACAATTCTTTACCTAAATCAAGTTTCATCAAATCCATTACCAAGTTAAGAAAAAGACATAAATCATACTTCTGGAATCATCATTGAAAAATTCTGAAGAAGTATGTACTTCATTATTCTTGTCTTGTAATGGAAAATGAAAACAATATGTTACAAATATAAAATATTTCCCTGATGAAATTTTGCTCAAAAATATTTCAAAATGTTTTTTTCATTACAAATGTCTAAGCTGATCTTTTATAACTAAAGAACATCAGTCCTGTAGCTTCCACCCATACCAATGCATTTCCCTGTCTTTCCATCTCTTATATAACTGTGCAGACATTCACAATTAGAAATCTGAATGCCAGCATTAGCCACACAGCGTTCATAGTTCTCAACATCACAACCATCATGGCTGACAGGGTCACATGACCCATGACTCTCAATTTCAATTGGCGAATGCTCTTTGTCTCCAGGTGGCCTTGCTGTAACCACTGGCAATGTCATATTCGTGTCATTTGTTTTTATCCTATAAACTTCTGGCTTCATATCTATCTCAGTATCAGGAGTTATGCTTTGAGTTGACAATATGGTCTGCTCAGTAGAAGTGGTGACAGCATCCTGAGAATAGGTTAAATTAAATTCAGATGTGACTGTACTGCTAGGAAAAGCTGTGGTGGCTTGTGGATCATACGTTGGTGACCTTGCTGTCTGATTCTTCACTTGATACATTATATTTCTTGTTATGTTTGTTACACTAGAAAGCATCTCTGTCTCCACATTTGCAGACGGAAATGTAGCATTATCACGAGAATTAGATGAGGCACTAGTCTTTTCTGCAGCAGAATTATTTACACTGTCTGGAATATTTCTCTCCAATTCTCTGTTCACAGAAACAGGTCTTTTTTCTTTACTAGGCTCTAATGGTGAAACTGTTTGGGTATACTGTATAGGAGTAGTGTAGGTAGACTTTTCTTCAGCAGAAAGTTTTGGGGAAGAGGTTGTCAATTCAACAGTAAAATTATTTCCATCTTGATTTTCTGAAGCAGGACTGGCGTCCCCTTTAGAGGAGGCAGAACCTTGTAAACTAGGATGTTCCCTGAAGTGACCAGGATGGGAGGCAGATGCCACAGTTCTTGACGTTTTCTTCACTGGACCATGACTACTTTCTTCTGGCGGTGCGATGGACCTCTGAGGGTGGTCTGCTCCACTGTGTGCATTCTCACCAAATATTGTGTGAATATGCGGGGCAGACCTCGACTTTTTCTGTATTGATGCAAGAGAACCTTGTGGTGCAGCCCTGTGTACCACAGGAGAATTGGATGGTGTTCTTGAACTATATGCTACAGTCATGTTTTTTACTCTTTTCGGTTGATATGGCACTCTTGGATTATATGATTCAGTGATCTCATGTGGTATTCCAGGCCCTGGGGTTTTGGTGCTGTCAGTAGGACTTACAGGTTGTGGTAGTGACCCAGAATTACTTGGAAGTCTTGCCCTGTGTGTTGGAGCATAAGCAACAGGAACTTTGGGTTTGTGAGACACAGTGGGTACTCTAAACTCCTGTGGCACTCTAGTACCATTTTGTTCTCTAGCCTCATGTGGTCTGTTGGGGTATTTTGGTACATTAGGCTTGTTTGGCACTCTTTGATCATCTGAAGTATGAGGCTGGTGTGGTATATCTTGGTCTTGCATCGTTTTACCATCCAGTGGCTTTGTTGCATCAGAAGGTGCCTCTCTTCTCAGCAAGTGCCCCCTGTGTATTTCTGCACGTGCTGCCACACCCCTCACATTGCCACGGGTTGTCAGCTCTATCCATCTTGAGGTCTGAAGTCTCTGTACACCCAAGGGATGCCAATCATAAGGTTTTGCTAAAAATCAAATTAATAATAATAATAATAACAACACCAATAACTACAGAGCATGATTTAAAAACAGTGATTATCATTTGTCATTCTGTAATACATGCATACAGTATATGACTTTCATACGATATATCAGTTATATAATATAATTCTATGCCATTTAAAATTATTCAAATCATATTGCATTCAAGAGCTGTAGATTTATTGTTTCCTAAAGGAATTGTTTAAATTGTTTAAAACCTTAAACTCCATAATTATAAAAAATGTCATATCATCATACAACATAAAATGCTAATAACTTGTTAGGTCCTATGTTGAAATATCTACCACCAAATGTTTTTCTGTATTAATCCTGGGGCACTAGATGTATTTTACACTTCATATAGTCAGTGTGGTAATTACATTAAAATATCTAAAGACCTTAGACACAATATCACCAATACTGACATAATTCTGGGCTAGCATATTTTAACCCAAATGGCTGGATTTTTTTACAGAAATCAAACCATGAATCAGCACAATGATAAATAGGAAAATATCTATGACACTGTCAGTTTTTTTATAGTAAATAATATACTGGACTAGTTAAATATCTATAAGCTAGTATGAGTCTATAGTGTATGTGCCAACTGTGAATTCTGGTCATCAGGAGTGACTGCTGGCAAGGCATGTTCCAGCCTGGGGCATCTACCCTCAAGGGATTTCCTAGGTTAATGGCAGAGACAATGTTTTGGGTTTGATCACATGTATGTATGTATACCATTTTATAAATAACAGGTGTGTTGGAATGAGTATGCTGTTCATGATGTACTTTCAGGTCCATCATAACATTTTCTCAGAAGATATCAAAATTAAATACAAAGCCAGTTCCAAAGTGAGAATAAATAAATATCTGCATTTATAAACACATAAAAGTTTTTGTGTAACAAAGTATAGTAACTCAAAATTCTAAAAAAATCCATGTCCAGTGACCTGCCATAAAAATACTACTACTGACTCAAAGAGCAAATTCCTATTAATCTGTTTCATATATGCCATAATATAGCAGGGTGCAACTTAGTTAAAAATGCCTTGAACAAGCAAATTTTCATGTGTCTGGCTTTTTTAATAGATCTAGAGGACATAGATCTAGTGCACATATAAAATGTTGGTACAATAAAAGACATGGTGTATATATGGACAGATTAAGCAAAATTACCAAAGAGCTTTAAGAACATGCAGAGTCTGGCACAATCAATCTATTTCTTTGATAAAAAGATTCTTACCATAAGTGTCTGCCACAGTCTCACACTTCCCCAGGGTCAACAAAATACACACGAGGTTTGCCCCAATGATGTGCAGAAAAAGGTGTCTGTACATTTTGGCTTACAAAGCCACATCTACAATGGCATGCTTCTCCAAGTGAAATATGAGGCAAGGCAGTAGTAACATTGCTGGAGGCCATACAGTAAGGGCATAAAACTGGTCTGGTATGGGTACATGCTGTCATTAAATGGGTGCTCAACTGGGAAAATCTGCTCTGTGACAAGACACATTTTAACGTAAGCTATATTGAGCAAACAATGGGTAATTCTGCAATGTGACAATTAATATTTAATATTTCTCATTATGTCATGATATTTTAATAGCTCGATTAAAAAAATTCTCACCCTGCATTTCAAAACTTAAAAATATCCTTCATTTCCCATCCGACTTTTTTAAGGTGGTTGATCATATCTTTGTCAAAAGACTTGGTTCCACAGATCAGGACTTGGCCTCTCTCAGTTAATGGCACCATCTGGGAAACTAATGTGGAATTAAGTCTTCCAAGATGCACTGTATCATTGTATTTCTTTACTTGGATTACATTTTCTTGAGTGTCCTAAAAGAAGATGATACCTACCAAGCATAAGCACAACTGGTACCCTTATTACTATTTTCCCTCTTTCTTTTTTATATTAATAATATTTTAACAGTTGAGTTAGAAAATAAATAACATCAAAATGGTTACAAAAGAATATAAAAGGCAAATGATGCCTTGGAAGCAACCCTATGTGCAGCACCATAAAATGTTCTATTAATCACTTATAGTTATACTATTACTAAAAACATTCATCATCTAAAGAGGAAAAAAATTTGGTTGGCAAACAGATTTTGAACTTAATTTCAATAGTTTTCTATAATGATCATCAACAATTAAACAATTGTTTTTATTCAGATCACTATATAAACATACGGTAAAGTGCCATGAATTTCGAACGGCTCTTGAATTTCGAACGATCTTAAAATCGGCCGTCTGGAGTTTTTTCTGGACCATGAATTTCGGCCAGTAAGCAATTTTGCGCGATCTTGATTTCGCGAATTTCGTACACCTTAAAATCGGCCACCGGGCTATTCTCGCGCTTATAAAGATCTAACAGTCGGCAATGTTGCCCTAGCGTACCTTTACCTGAGTACTACGCGTGCGACCCAAGGTGCAAGATAACGATCGGTACAGTTAGTTTAGGACGCTAAACAACATCGTCATATCCATTCATTCAGATAACAGGAGAATCTATTAAGAGTTGTACTGTCGGGCTGTTGTTTCTTTACCGCAGTATTCGGTGTGAGATAGCGATCGGTAGTTTTGCTGAGGCGCACAATAGCATTGTTAACAGTATAGACTTCAGTAATAGAACAAAAGAGCAATATTAAAAGCTGCAATAAAGATTACCATTATTGCTTTCTTGTCTCGCTCAGATCGTTCACGATCTCCTGCTGACGATCTTCCGCTAATGAAGTCACTTGAAATGTACAAATGAAATGTAAAATATTTTTAAAAATTATAAATTCCAATGGGGAGGGATGGAGGGTTACAAACAATCGAGAACGATCTCCGGCTGACGATCTTCCGCAAACGAAAGCCACTGAACGAGTATGAGCTTTCTCGTTTCACTAGGATTGCGACGCTGACGATACGAAAATTGCGTTCTCGTCTCGCCCTTTGGCTTACGAAGTCTCTTTAACAAATATGAAAAATGCCTCCTGGTCTCTCTCGGCTTGCGAACGATCTCTCGCTGAAAATTTGAAATTTTCCTTTTTGTCAATCAGCTTTGTCAGTTGCCGTGCGTATGAAGGTCCGGAAGGTGTCCCCTTTCACAAATTGGCCTGTAGTTTGCTTAGTGTTTTGTACCGCATGAAGGTCACTCTTGTCACTGCTGCATACGGCGTGGAATGTGTATCTTAAAGTTCATAGAAACATTTTATTGTGTTTTGTAAGCTTTAGGAAGTATTTTCGTCGTGACTGAATATCAGCGTACACTACAAAGTAGTACCATTCATCTGTGACGCATCATAAAAGCTAGGTACGTCAAATTACTCTAAGAAAATTTCTTACAACGTCCACGGCT